TGTCGTTTTTTTTCGGGTTGAATTTTGAATTTTGATATCTCAGCTCTGGAAGGGTCTAGAGCCTCCATTTTTGCACTCAGGTCAAAGTCTCACAGCCCTCTATCAGAATCCAGAGTTTTGAGAAAGATTGGAGAAACTTAATTTTTCGCCCGAAATGAAAAAAAACGAAGGGGTAACACTGTCGTTTTTTTTTCGGGTCGAAATTTTGAATTTTGATATCTCAGCTCTGGAAGGGTCTAGAGCCTCCATTTTTGCACTCCAGGTCAAGTCTCACAGCCCTCTATCATAATCCAGAGTTTTGAGAAGATTGGAGAAACTTAATTTTTCGCCGAAAATGAAAAAAAACGAAAGGGGTAACACTGTCGTTTTTTTTCGGGTCGAAATTTTGAATTTCGATATCTCAGCTCTGGAGGGTCTAGAGCCTCCATTTTTGCACTCAGGTCAAAGTCTCACAGCCCTCTATCATAATCCAGGTTTTGAGAAGATTGGAGAAACTTAATTTTTCGGCCGAAAACGAAAAAAACGAAAGGGGTAACACTGTCGTTTTTTTTCGGGTCGAAATTTGATTTCGATATCTCAGCTCTGGAAGGTTCTAGAGCCCTCCATTTTTGCACTCAGGTCAAAGTCTCAGCCCTCTATCTATTCAGAGTTTTGAGAAGATTGGAGAAACTTAATTTTTCGGCCCGAAAATGAAAAAAAAACGAAAGGGGTAACACTGTCGTTTTTTTTTTGGGTCGAAATTTTGAGTTTTGATATCTCAGCTCTGGAAGGGCCTAGAGCCTCCATTTTTGCACTCAGGTCAAAGTCTCACAGCCCTCTATCATAATCCAGAGTTTTGAGAAGATTGGAGAAACTTAATTTTTCACCCGAAAACGAAAAAAAACGAAAGGGGTAACACTGTCGGTTTTTTTTTCGGGTCGAAATTTTGAATTTCGATATCTCAGTTCTGGAAGGGTCTAGAGCCTCCATTTTTGCACTCAGGTCAAAGTCTCACAGCCCTCTATCATAATTCAGAGTTTTGAGAAGATTGGAGAAACTTAATTTTTCTCCCGAAAACGAAAAAAAACGAAAGGGGTAACACTGTCGTTTTTTTTTTTTTCGGGTGAAATTTAGAATTTTGATATCTCAGCTCTGGAAGGGTCTAGAACCTCCATTTTTGCACTCAGGTCAAAGTCTCACAGCCCTCTATCATAACCCAGAGTTTTGAGAAGATTGGAGAAACTTAATTTTTCGCCCGAAAATGAAAAAAACGAAAGGGATAACACTGTCTTTTTTTTTTCGGGTCGAAATTTTTAATTTTGATATCTCAGCTCTGGAAGGGTCTAGAGCCTCCATTTTTGCACTCAGGTCAAAGTCTCACAGCCCTCTATCATAATCCAGAGTTTTGAGAAGATTGGAGAAACTTAATTTTTTGCCCGAAAATGAAAAAAAACGAAAGGGGTAACACTGTCGGTTTTTTTTCGGGTCGAAAATTTGAATTTTGATATCTCAGCTCTGGAAGGGTCTAGAGCCTCCATTTTTGCACTCAGGTCAAAGTCTCACAGCCCTCTATCATAATCCAGAGTTTTGAGAAGATTGGAGAAACTTAATTTTTTGCCCGAAAATGAAAAAAAACGAAAGGGGTAACACTGTCGTTTTTTTTTTTCGAGTCGAAATTTTGAATTTCGATATCTCAGCTCTGGAAGGGTTTAGAGCCTCCATTTTTGCACTCAGGTCAAAGTCTCACAGCCCTCTATCATAATCCAGAGTTTTGAGAAGATTGGAGAAACTTAATTTTTCACCCGAAAACGAAAAAAAACTAAAGGGGTAACACTGTCGTTTTTTTCGGGTTGAAATTTTGAATTTTGATATCTCAGCTCTGGAAGGGTCTAGACTAGTCTATCTGACTGCTTTATTATTATTATTATACTGAGTGGACAGTAATACAATTATTAATAAATAATAATTTTATTACTGTCTTGACACCAAATGTCCCTTCAGCTTGTTTACCGTACAGTTTAGACATGGGATCATAAAGTTAGCTTACCCGTGGTACTGGTAGCAAACAGCAAAACTCTTTAAAATATATTTTTTTCCTTTTCTTCCTTGGTTGGGGATGTAATCGTCTTCGCTGAAGTGAGCACACACACGAAAATCCTTTATTCGGGATATTTTAGCTCCCATGGCAACCAGCCAAAGCTGTCTCATGGAAACATGAAAACGATGGAATCTGAACTTTGATCCCGGAACATCCTTGTGGTCACAGCCTGGGAATTTACAAGTTCGCACCATTGTTAATTTAATACTTTTTACCTAGTAGTCAATCGATTGTCAAACTATGGAACAGCTGATCGTAACGTGCGCACTGTTGACGTTGCGGCGGCGCAGATTGATAGAAATGGATAGAAAATAGTGCCGCATTAAAACTGAGGTATGAATTTTGCCCGGCGTGTTTTTTGTGTTGTAAATTAATCAAGCTTTGAAACGCAAATCATTTTTTCACGTAAAAACGCACAGTTTTGTGGCCCTGGAAAATAGCCGGGAGTATTTCATTGAAAAACTTCCAGCGGTCAGAACTCTGACCAGGGGGTTCACAACAGAGTGGGTCAGTGTGTATGCACTATAGTGCTGGTAAGGATTGCATACAACTTCATGTCTTAAATGGGCGAACTAACCCTTTAAAGCTGCCGTCCATAGCTTTTTGGGGGGTTTAAAAATTATCCAAAATACATATTTGAGAAATCTGCTTGCCTAAGCTCAATTCAAAGCAGTAATTTTGTAATAATATTTTTAAATTCTAGTGGTACTGGTAAATTTCCGCTGGAGATTTGAGTCTTTGCGTCATTACGTCACATCTGTACACATGAAGAAGAGTCTCTACTAGTGGGATATGTATTGTGTTTGAGGATGTTGTTCGAACTTCAGAGTGGCTACAGGGAAAAAAAGAGACTGCAACCGGACACATGCGAAAACATTATGATACTCAAGGACATTACATGTAGTCACACAATGCTGACGTTGTCAACATTGACAATTTGAGAACAAAGTATAATTTGCACGGTTTTGCGTGAGCGATTGTTAGATTTAATCAGAGCGATTTACTGCAATGTCCGAACCAGAACAAAAGTGGATGTTTCTTACTAGTTCAGATGACATTTTCCAGTGAAAATTCGAATGTTCGGCACGCTTGCGCAGACCGAAGCGCCTGTGCCTTCAGATCACTTGGACGCAGCTGTGGTTAAGAGGTAAAAACGATATAAATACTGTTCGTTTTCTCACACAAACCGCTCGTTTCGTGTCTTAGACCATCAATGGCCTATTTACATTTACGGGTCATTAAATCATGTTTAATTTGGACTTCTCTGTGCATGCTCTTTAAGTTGGTGACCATAGACCTGCATTATATGACTGACAGACAAGAACGGTTTGACCTAAAAATATCAAAATTGAAACTACTGTGGAAACAAAAACATCAAAAATTAATATCAAAGTGAACTATCCCTTTAAATGTCTAATCTGAGACCTGCAGGTCATTATTTAGAGGCATAAATCCATAGCTTGTAAATGAAATATATCGAATGTTATTAGTGGCCTGCCCTAACTTTTGATACAACAAACAATTTAAATGTATGGGGCAGTTTTGCCTTGCCTCAAGCCCTGGCTAATATCTGTCCCTGACTCACTTGTTGTGCTGGTGCAGTAGGCTAATGGTCTTGTGGAGTGGTCTGGTCTGGTCTTGTGGGACAGGGACTGCAGTAGCCTAATCAGAGCAGCCGCAGACGGTCCAGCAGAGGAAACGGCGTCATGGGAACGGACCGGGATTCCGCAGGGAACGTTATCAGATCGCACTCTCCGTGCACTCAGAGTCAGACAGGAAGCGCCACATGAGCGCAAATATCATTCCTCGCGTTTGTTAACTTAATTTAAAACGAAACAACGTAAAACAACTGGAATAATAATTGACAGTTTAATTCTCACCTGCTAAAATATCAAATCAAGGCCAGCTTTTGACAAAGCGTAGACTAGGCTATAAAATTAAAAAAAAAAAAAAAAAAACAACGATTTTTGTCCGAGCTGTGTTCAAACATGGCGAGATCGATCTCCGGCCACACACAGACATCTCGCGCCGCGGGCTGTTTCCTCGTGTTTCTCAGTCCCTTATGCCACTTAATGTTCTTTTGAACACACACATCCCCTTTTTAGTCACGGAAACACAATTTATGGCTATTATGTCGCATTATAGATTGCATCTACAGAAGCCAAGAGTTGTTGCCGAGAGATATTTCAAGGGGGCCACAACTTTTTGAGAGGAACACAAACAACCTGAAAGAGTTAAGAATAAAGACACGAAAAACATGTTTGTTAATGTTTCATTCGTCATTCAATTATAGTTAAGAGGGTCAGACTATAAAAAGAAACACGACAAAACAAAACATCCAATCCCGAGTAGGACTGGACCACCCAGAATCAAAGAGTGAATGAGTGACTGGAGTTTGTTGATCACGCCCCGGGTTCAGACGTTTACAGTAGTTCCAGTCATGTACGCCCATTACATGAGCATCTGAGCAGCAGCCGGTCACTTACACTACACACACACACACACACACACACACTTCTCATGAGAGCTGTTTCATTTATCTTGGCCAGCTAGAGCCTTTTTTATTATTATAAATTACAAAGGCTGGCAACCCTGGACATCTGATGATGTTTGACAGCTCGCAATATCCTTATAACTGTTTCAACTATGATGGAGAAGGATATCCCTCTTGTGCCACAGATGAAGAGAAGAAAGTGTGTCGCCCGGCTTACAGGTATTTAATTATTATTTATTATTAATAATATTAATATATAGGCTACAATAAAAGGTAGAACAATTTAATTTGAGCACTTTTACAATAATTGTATGAATTAAGTTGAATAGCCTACATTGTTGTAAAAGTTGTTGCTATTTTAACATGTTTTGTCTTGCAATGTTTTATTATTTTATATTTCAAATTCCATTTCTTAATGTGGTGAATTACTGCTTTTGAGCACTACAGAGGGTCATAATGTAGCCTAATGAATGAAATGTTATTATATTATATAATTAATATGAAACCTTTTTAAAGTTATAATGTATTATATAACTATGTGAAATGAAAACAATATGTATTATGTAGTGTATAATGACAGTATTTTTTATGAAATTATGGCAATAAGTTTATGCTGTTGTCTAGATCAGTGAAGACTTGCAAAAAAACATTTAAAGCATATTATATTCTTAGTATATTTTAATTATTTGTGGGTGTGTGTGGGTGTGTGTGAATAATTACAAACAAGCATGTATCCCTTAAATTAGCCTCTTTAAAAAGACAAATGTTCTCTAACATGCGTTTTCTGTCTCTCTAGTTACATTGCACTAATAGCGATGGCTATACAACAGAGTCCAGAGAACAAAGTTACCCTATCTGGAATCTACGAGTTCATCATGAAGAGATTTCCTTATTACAGATCCAACCAGAGGGCTTGGCAAAACTCAATTCGGCATAACCTCTCTCTAAACAGCTGCTTCATAAAGGTATATGAGGATGGAGATGTGTATGCTAAAATGTAAACGAAAAGTACCTACAAAAAAAATATATATATATATATATATGAAGAGTTCAGATGCAAAAGCCTCTAAATGCCATTTGAAATTTTCTTCTTTAATGATGATTTTTATCAAACTTGTATATTTAAGTTCAGTAATTTCACTTAAATAACAATTAATAGGTAATTATCATTGCCATTTAAGTGAAATCACTGAACTTAAATATACAAGCTTGATAAAAATGATCATTCTAGAAGAAAATTTCAAATGGCACTTAGAGGCTTTTGCATCTGAACTCTTCATATATGTATATTCATGATTTGTAATCACAACATTTTTTCTTTTGTCAAATCAACTTAGATAATTTACATAGTTCAGATAACATAATATTTTGAGTTTCTGATGATTAAATCAATCTCCTTCATTGTATTAACTCATTTTTTTTCCATTTTAATGAACTTAAAATTTTAAGGCAACCAGGTTCCTTTTTTTAAGTTAAACCAACAATATTTTTTTACAGTGTAGATTTCAACAATTTTCATTATACAAATATAGACTGTTTTGTTATGCTGTGCCATCAGGCATGGCTGGAGAAATTCTGAAATCAACAAACGTTTAAAGAAATGTAAAGAAACCCCATAGTTATAATTGTAAGGGCATTACTACTAATGGTTTTCTTAACTTTAGGGGTTTGCTGTAACTGGCTACTGATTATTTGCTTTCCTCAGGTGCCCCGTACGGAGGGTAACGAGAAAGGAAAAGGTAATTACTGGACGTTCGCCACGGGCTGCGAGTCCATGCTGGACCTCTTTGAAAATGGCAACTTTCGTCGGCGGCGTCGCAGACGCAACTTGAAAATGGGCCTGAAGGAGCCAGCCGAAACCTTTGTTGCCACAGACACTCATCAGGGCGTCGCAGTAAGATCCACAGAATCAGATTCGTTCTGTCACAGACCGGCCCAAAACAACCCACCCCTCAGCAAACCTGAGCCTGAGATCAAATTCAGCATTGACTACATTCTGTCCACGCCGGACCCTCTGCCAGGGTTCAGAGCCCCTAACAGTATATCTGGAGCTGTGATCCACCACCTGGAGCCACAACATCTCAATCTACACTTCTGGACCATGTAACCTTAACCATAAAAGGCAGAACATATTCAGAAAATACCTGAAAAAAAAGACAAATTAAACTCCCATAATGCAAATTGGCTTGTCAGTATATAGGCACATGCAGTTTATTGTGTGCTAGTGCTCTCGTCGGTAGTCTGCTGTCACTCATGCTAGCAAAGCTGTTAAATAAGACTAACTTATGAATATATAATTGTTTAATAATTCATAATAGGAGTTTGAGTATACATATCCATACAATATGATCATTTTGAACAGGTCACTTCATATATCAGCATGCATTTCTGAAATAGACGGTTGATTTTGACTGTTCATGTCAAACAGGCAACACTTTACAATTAGGTTATTGTTAACATTAGTTAAAATGTTTTAATAACATACTTCTAAAGCATTCATTAATCTCAGTTAATGTTCATTTTAACATTTACTAATGCATTATTGGTTACTTTATTTTAAGGTTACAGTGTAATTATACAGTAATGATACTAATGAGTTAGTTGCATGTGATAATGCCTGATTTATAGTTACATGTGTAACAGGGCACTAAAATAAAGTGTAGTAACACTATTTTGAAGTTGTTACACGTACTTACTGTAAGTTTAACCCTATATATATATATATATAGTACATGTTGTTAATTAATATTACTCAGCACTTAAACCTAAAGTTTTACCGCATTACTAAAACCAAAAAAAATGATTTAATGAACATGCACAGATGTATTTTTATTAATTTGACGTTAAAAAAGATGAATAAATGCTGTAAAATGCATTGTTCGTTAATGCATTAACTAACGTTAACTGATGTGACCTTACTGTAAAGTGTTACCAATGCATAACTCACTATTAAATTTTCGCCCGGTAAAAACTACAAGTCTCATGCTCACCTGAGGTGTGTTGGTGTTGCGGACACGGGTTTGCCGTTAGTTGAGTGTTTGGTTAGGTTAGTGTAATCAGCATTCCCTGCTCACTGCACAACTGCTGAACGACTCTATTGTTTACATATGTTGTTTATAATGTGTATCATTGGCCCTTGACAGTCTGTGATCCGTATCAATCACTGATAGACTGAGAATATGCTCCCCTGGGCAAAACCAGAGCCCTCTATATCTAAAGCCCTCCTCGGGGTGTTTTTTTTTTTTTTTTGCTTTTGATGTTTTATTTGTATTGGGAATCTCTGTTTATTTTAAAGCATCTTTAAACTTTGAACAAAGATGATATAAGAAAGAGAGTTTTTCAAAGGTATAAGTGAGATGTGCTACACTATTCTCAGTCCTAATTGCTTGGCTGATTCAATTGCAATAGCACATAATGTTTGGTTTGGTCATTTGTTTTTTAGTTACAAACACCTGTACCTCCTTGTACATACACACATATATATATATATATATATATATATATATATATATTATATATATATATATATATGAAGAGTTCAGATGCAAAAGCCTCTAAATTGTATATTTAAGTTCAGTAATTTCACAAAATGGCAATGAAGATTACCTAATAATTGTCATTTAAGTGAAATTACTAAATTATTAAAAAAAAATGTCATTTTAGAAGAAAATTTCAAATGGCATTTAGAGGCTTTTGCATCTGAACTCTTCATATATACATATATATATATATATATATATATATATATATATATGAAGAGTTCAGATGCAAAAGCCTCTAAATGCCATTTGAAATTTTCTTCTTTAATGATTATTTTTATCAAACTTGTATATTTAAGTTCAGTAATTTAAACATACAAGTTTGATAAAAAATCATCATTAACGAAGAAAATTTCAAATGGCATTTAGAGGCTTTTGCATCTGTACTCTTCATTTATATAGGGTATATATATATATATATATATATATATACACTGTAAAAAATATTGTTGGTTTAACTTAAAAAAATAAGTAACCTGGTTGCCTTAAAATTTTAAGTTCATTGAAATGGAAAAATTGAGTTAATACAATGAAGGAGATTGATTTAATCATCAGAAACTCCAAATATTATGTTATCTGAACTATATAAATTATTTAAATTGATTTGACAAAAGAAAAAAATGTTGTGATTACAAATCATGAAAATATTTTTACAGTATATATACAGTATATACCATTAGCATCTGTTAAATTAGTAGGTTTATAGCAATCAATGAGACATTGTTTAAATGTCAATATAAGGCAATTAAGCAGTAATTATTGAATATAAGGCCTCATTCCTTCCAGTCAGCAACATTCATTATTCAAGATTTGAGAAAATACTCTATACTGTATATGTTGTAATCTCTTAACAAACAGTTATTCTGACATTAAAATAGTTTTAAAAATTGTGAACTGATAAAGCACCCATTAAACAAAAACAGGTTATAAATAATTAACATCTCAGCTAGCTTTAATAATAGCAATTCCTTTTATATATATGGGCCTATGTAGAAATTTCACATGCCATGAAAATGTCCCTTAATGCTATAGAAATGCATTTGGCATATGAATAGACATAACTGAATATTAACAAACTGTCAGACAAGTGCAGTCTAACCTTCTCCAAATCTCCCTAATCTCTCTGACTGACCTTTTCCATTTCCATGAAGTCCGACTAAACGCGATCCAAACACTCTATTAGAATAGATATCACTCATAAAGCTGGGAGTTTAGAACGGGAAGCCTGTTAACATTTATTTTCCTTCTAAGGTGTATCAATCATGGCTTGCATTGTGCTCAGGAGGGGACATTTTTCAATTTAACCTTTATATTACAGAGTGACTGCATCAGAAAGGTTTCAACACACTTAACATGAGTGGCATTTAATATAGCATTACACTTGCAAGGTTAGCCAGAGATGTGACCTTATTCAAATCCTGCTGCCACTACAACACCTATCCTGATGCAATTATAATTAAACGCCTTATGCCGGCTTGCAAATCCTCTGATCGATCACTGATATTAAGGTAAATATTGCACTGCCCCCAGTGAACATCTAACTCTAAAAGTGTTATGGATCAGCAGGTTTCTATTAACAGCATTGTTGATGTTGTGTGCTCTGGTGTGGATATATTTGGGTAAATTAACTTAGCATAAATGCTTCAAGGCTTGATCTTAAAAGGCCCAAGATACCCTCCCTCCCTCCCAAAAAAAAAAAAAATCCCTCAAAACTCTGGCTGCATTCCTTTACCCTGCCATGGCGTACGGATTAATGTTAGTTTAAAGAGTAAACGTTCCTTTTTGCTTTGCTTTTTAATTAAAACCAGTTTACACTTCATAGATTAATGTGTCTCTGGAATATTGTGAGAGTGTTGTTCACTTGCCTTGTCTGTTGTCGTACAGGTCTTAAGATAAAAATTGTATCTTTCCCCCTCGTATTTGTAAATAAACCCTCTTTTTGTGCATATATTTATTGCGTTATGCTGAAGCATTGTCAGCGAGGTGAAATAAAAGTCTTGGGGCTAGGTAAACAGCACTGAACGAGGAAATTGGGAAATCAGTGATGTGCAACGATAATAGCACCCATATAATAAACATAAACAGCTAATTTGCTCAAAATGTTTAGCTTTCATTGCCTTTTCCCCTGTTTTAAAATTGGATTTTGGCCAGGAAATTATTACAAAAACAAGATAGCGATGAAACCTTATAATGCAATAATAAGGCCCTGATTAACAATGATGATTTCCTTGAGGTGTGATTTTTAGTGCACGCTATAGATGTAGTGTTCATTGAATAACTCCCAGTCTAATGAATCAGGCTGGATGTGCACATACTTCTGGATAATCTTGAAGCTAAAGCGAGCTATTTAAATAACTACGGGTTATGAGGTGAACACCAGTTAAATGTACCATTGGTAACACTTTTCAATATGGGTGCACTAATAAGCATTAATTCATGCTTAACTAATGCACATACTGAATTAATGTGTAACTAATGATTATCTAAGCTAATTATTAATGATTACCACATTAGGAACTAATTAAGAGTCTGTAAGGTTAATGTATTAATTCATACATGAGTTATTATTAATTAAATATGTAATTGTGGATTAATTCCATAATAACTAATTTTTTAACTAATGGTGTTAATTAATATGTTAATTACCAGAATGAGCCAAAGCCTTGTATTTCAACTTCCACATAATATGACAAGAACACTAACATGCATTAATACATTATTACTGTGTAAATTAAATTGTGTGTAAATTACTACAATTACTAAATGACTAGTTAATAATGATGTGCCCCAACAAGTAAAGTCATAAAATAATGATGCCTTTGCAAATCATTAGCTAATGATTAATTAAAGCAGACAACTGGAAGTTGAAGAGCATAACTTTGACCAATTGTGGTAATAAACACATAAATATACACTATTAGTTAATAAAATATGTTATTAAGGAATTAATACACAATGACACATTGAATTAATAGCAATTCATGTATTACTTAATCTATTAATCATAGAGAATCTTTATTAGTTGCTGATGCAGTAATCCTTAATGAATGGTTTAGTTCTTCATGAGTTATACATTAACTCATGATTATCTGTGCAAGTTAAGCATGAATTAATGCATATTAGTGCACCTGTATTTTTTTATAGGCCTATTATCAATGTTTACAAATTCAGTGATCAAAATATTTCATGGTAATCAACCTAAAGAGCCTAAAAAATATCAAATTCGTACAAATTCTTTCGAGTGAGTAAAATGTGGAGAGTCATTCTCTATCAATACAATGCCATGACAGTTAAGCAATGTTTTTTTTTATGCAATACTTATTTGAGGCATTGAGGTTATCACATTAAAGGTATAGTTCACTTTGAAATTAAGTTTTGATATGTTTTAGCTTACCTCAGGGGCATCCAAGATGTAGGTGTCTTTGTTTCCGCAGTAGTTTCAATTTTGATATTTTTAGGTCAAACCGTTCTTGTCTTATAGTCATATAATGCAGGTCAATGGTCACCACCTCAAAGAGCATGCACAGAGAAGTCCAAATTGAACATGATTTAATGACTCGTAAATGTAAGTACACATTGATGGCCTAAGGCATGAAACGAACGGTTTGTGTGAGAAAACGAACAATATTTTTATCGTTTTTACCTCTTGTAACCAAAGCCACGTCCAAGTGATCTGAGGGCGTGGGCGCTTCGGTCTGCACAAGAAGACCTCAAGTTTACACGGAAAAAGATTGTAGGTAAGACAGCTAATTAAAATGGTACTAATTTGCACTTATCTGGGATGTTTAAACCGTCGTAAAAGAAAACAATTACATATGCTCGTGGGAACTCTTCTTCACTTCCGAAGAGATCCCTTCTGGGGCTTTCCGGAGCTTGCACAGACGTGGCTGTGGTTACAAGAGGTAAAAACAATATATACTGTTCGTTTTCTCGCACAAACCGCTCGTTTCGTGTCTTAGGCCATCAATGTGTACTTACATTTACGAGTCATTAAATCATGTTTAATTTGGACTTCTCTGTGCATGCTCTTTGAGGTGGTGACCATAGACCTCCATTATATGACTGACAGACAAGAACGGTTTGACCTAAAAATCTGAAAATTGAAACTACTGCGGAAACAAAGACTCCTACATCTTGGATGCCTTTTGAGGTAAGCTAAAACATCCCAAAAATTAATTTCAAAGTGAACTATCCCTTTAATTACAGATCTCAAAAAGCGAACACATTAATGGGCCTTGTTGTAAGTGTTTACTACAGCTTTTCTGACGCAAGAGGTTTTCATTTTAACCCTTAGTCAGGAATGTGCCACGCGAGCCTGATTCTCATTGGTGCTTGCATCATTTCCTCTAAATTGTTTTCAAATTTGTCCACATGCACAGAGGATTCTTGTCTTCAAGGGTTTACGAGAAACAACGTAACCTCATTATTTCATGAGTATTAATTACGTGACTGCCAGTGAAAGGGTTATGATAAAGAAACTCACCTTTTAGACCTTGAGCTGCTCTTCAATGACTTCTGTTTGAGATCATTTTCTGCTGAAAGTTGTACTTTCATTTAAACTAGATGTTTTAGGTCTGAAACAGGTTATCTCTTCTTCTGTCTCCAGCATTTTAAATATAGTAAAACAGTATAGTTAAATATTATTATGATTTTTTTATTGTAAAATACTTGTTTTTACCCCCATTTGGTGTGGCCTATCAAGTTGCTGATTACTGCACAGGTGTGCCTTAGGGCTATATATATACTTATAAATTATTTATTGTATTTGCGTTTCATCCACACTGATCCGGCTTTTTGGGAGAGTGAAACCGCTATTTTTTGAAACTGGGTCCCAAAGTGGATGAATCTGAAATCGGCACCCTTGCGGTTTCGAATGGCAACTGTGTTAAAACCAAACTGAAGTTTGCTGCGATTACATAGCCTTTTTTTTTTTTTTTACTATATACACGTTTGTCCTGCACAAAATATCATCGCACTGACTGGCTTCTATATACACAAACAGCGTTGGCATTGGTTTACATTCTTGATCAAATCGAAAAATTACGGCATGAAGTATGTAGGCTACATGAAAAATACTTTTACAAAATGAGTACATATACAAATTCAGGTCCAAAATGTTTGTACGCGTTTGTCGTAGACATGAAATAGCATAACTAAGTGGCTATAAAGCCAGCGCTGGCATTTGATAAAACTAAAACATTACGTCTGAAATGAATTTAAAATGATCAAGTCTTAATTACAGGTTGTGGCCCAACAACTGGTTTTAAAGTTGGAACTGCTTCATGTTTTAGTAACAAGTTTCTTGTTGAATCCGGTGTTGAATTTCTGGAGATTCTGGAAGTTGTCTTCTGTAAATAGGTAGCACAGAGAGCTAAATTACGATTGTAATTTTCAGGAACATAATCAAACACAAGTTGTATCCATTGTTGACGAAGTACAACATCCGTGGGAAGCCTGAACACAGAAGACCTGACAGCTGGGTGAACACAACACACTCGACGAGCCGCAGAAATATGCGCATGCCCTTATTTGCATATTCCGGAGGGAGGGTTGATGCAAATGTATGGGTTAGTGACGTCTAAAACCCAGCTGTAGTCCAAATCGAGTCATTTTTGTAAGCATTAAACTTCCTGATTTTTAAAAGACGATATCTCTGCTTACACTGAATAGAGCAGAAGTGCAAAGTCTTACGTAGTCAGGCTATAAAAGTGTCTCCTCCCACTTAGAACGGTTGGGTATCCCTAGTGACAAATTTTTTGATAATTATTGACAATCAGAGAATCTATCTACACTGGTTTGGCTCCGATTGGGCCAGAAACCTAGAACTAAATTGTTTTGTTAGTTTTTTTTATACCACTTTTATAGTCATTTTTGATTACCTCCATTTTTTAAGTAAATTTGTTTTTTTCACATTGCAAAGTTTTCATATTCTATGTACTCCTGAGAGTAAAATAAGCTTATTTAAAGGTCCAGCCATGAAAAAAAGAAAATAAAAGCAAAGAAAAAAAAACATTTGATATAACATTAAAAAAAATAAAAAATAAAATACATTTTAAAAAGCATAGTGATACAGATTTTTGGTCATATCACCCAGCACTAGTTGGATTTGTAATTCGGTTAGAATAGAAAATAAATTTTATATAAAATACAATTCTACAATAGACAGAGTAACAGATCACCATCTTGGTATGTTTTATTGGAGTTCAACATGCATGAATCAAACAGTACAGAGAGCAGCTTGAGGTATAACAACAGGTAAGCACACAGACCAACACCAGTACAATCTGTAAAACCAAGATTGACCAGAGAAATGATCACCGGTTAGAGAGTACAGCTTACGCCAGCCCTTCACACTCACACACACACACACACACACTGCAGTTTCACTCCCTTTATAGAGATGTGTCATGTTGGAAAGCTAGATTCTCTCCTTCCCGTCCCTTGGTAAACACGGGATAAACATGGTGTCTGCAGCAGATATCAGGATCGGTTGTGCACACACATATAGATAGACACACACACATAACTCCAAATACATATCAAAGAGAAGAAAAGTGCCGTACCAATAAAGAAATGCTCTCAAAGGTACAAAAGGGTTTCTTTTACTGAAGACATTGGCAAAACCTGACCACATGCTGGGGAAATTTTTTTTGTCTGCCTAAAAAAACAAAAAAAGTCAGTGAAACAGTTTCACTCCAAACTGCAACAAGACACAAGAGCGGAAAACTCCAAACCTATGATTCTGGGGTTTACAATTCCTTCATACTAATATAAAGTTAAAATAACCAATACTGTCTTCTGAAATAAAAGACGCTAAATACATTTCTTTTACACTCTCAAACTGTACATTTCTGAGACTAATTTACAGCCAAAACCATTTTAAACTGTAGTGCAGCATTGATAGATGAAATTGCACATTTGCTGAGAAATTGAAGGTAGTTGCTAATAAAGTGATAAATAACTCAAAAGATACATCCATGGATGTATAACAGTATCAAACCATATCAGCGATGTAGTCAAAAACAATAACAACAGCATTTAAATGAGTTGAAAATCTGTATCTGTTTTTAGTGTACATATTAATAATGTGTAGGGGGATAAATAAATCAAGTCCCCACAATTATGTCGCGTCCCTCAAAGCTCCTGTTATCAACAGAACAAAGCCACAATATTGTAGTATTATAAAACTGGATCCCTTTACTTAGCTCTTTAACAAATATGACATTATTGCTGCATGTACAACAGCTTCAGCTTTGCGTAGCTCCTTAAACAGTTTCCCTTAAAATTGCTTTAACAGATCTATCAGTTTTGCGGTAACTAACATTAACATTAACAAACACAGCATAATGAACTCCCAATGATTCTCCCAAAGGCGGAAATGTCAAAAACACCCAGTTTTAGAACTGAAATTATGAGGGCCAAAGCTTCGATTCTAAAAAGATCTGGGGTCGTTTTCATTTCTAATACGTATTTCGTGTAGTGTGTGTGACAAATCATATACAATTATTAGCCATGCAAAAGTGCACCGTCCATTTGATTTGTGCTCACTTGTATCGACAAATAAAATCTTGCACAAATACAAACACAACTAAAACACATCTGGTTGTTAATTAAGTTAGTTGACTTACTTTACACTTAAATTATTTGCTAAGGTTAAACATTTGGTCCGTCAAAACCGTATGTACAGAACAGCGAGACGCTGCTGACAGCCCTCGAACTAAAGATATTACATCAGCACATTCACCTCGCTAAATCAAATGTCTGGTGTGCAAACATAAGAGTACCAAACGTTACATGATCATTAGTGGACTACACCTTAAACAAGCCACAATCTGTTCTTTAAGGCAGATTCATTTCATTCCTTAATAACAACGCTAAGCTCGACACCCTTTCTGCAGCACTTGTGGACGTAAAATCCAATTTAAACTGCCTTGCAGTCACCATCAGTTCTCTAGAAACTCCATTTGCTTTTCGGTCTCGTAATAGACAGCGTTGAAATGAAGGACAGCTTAAATTTTGCATTTGAACAAAAGCTCTGTTAACACAGCCGAAAGGCGAATAAATCTTTCAGTGCAAATTAAATTGAAATGCATACTTTTTGTTCCTACGAATGCTTTCTACAGGGCCAAGTAAAATAATAACCTTAAAAGAATCCATTGAAATAATAATCATATCATTTTCCCTTTTGATGTGACCTATGTAGTGAAGTCCTTTTAAATATTCAGCTTTAAATTGGAATAAATTAGAAATATGCGCAAAAATCATGTCTCGTTCAATAACTCGAACTGCTGCCATCATCTTTCTGCTATGGTATGTCTTGTCAGAGGTATTAATTGGAAATTTTATAATAAATAATCCTTTATATAACATCCCTTTAAAGCAAATCTTCCGGTAGATAAAGTTAAAACAATTATCAGCTCCCTTTACAGATTGTCCTTGAGGAATAGGATTATTCAGCTGTTGCATGCAGGACCACAGAGAACACAAAAAATAGACATGGCCGGATCTGGTAATAGACTATTACATTAATTTTCTTGCTTTATACCACAAATACCAATTAAAAAAATAGACATTGACCTCTCGAACTCACACGGAACGGTATGCTTTAGGCAGGGAGTTCTCGGTGGAGCATTTTCAATGGAATGGAAACTTGGTAAAGTAAGAAAAAGTCCATTATGAAAATGTCTACCATGAAACAGTTCTGATCACTGTTGATTGTGCTGGAGAAGCAGGAGAGAAAGAGGGGATGCTGATGGATCTGCAAAGGGACAGACTCACCACTGCCACGCGAGCAGAGCTGGGCCGCCCCTGAGAATCTGACACTTATCTACAAGGCAAAGAGGGCGTCCTCGGACCTGCCTGGCTTTTTACTTGCGCTGGCAGAAGCACCGGAAGCAGCAGGGAGCTCGTCGCTCGGGGGGTTCGGCAGTGTGGGCACCATCTCTGCTGCTTTGGCTCTCTCCTCTAGAAACTTGTCAAACTCTGGAAGAAAGTGTTTAAAGTCAAAAACTGCCTTTAACTGCTTGGTCTATTAATAACAGAAGAAAACAGTAACAAAAACAGAAGTATTTGAGTTTATTGGCATAGCATCACCGGCTATTACATGGCAGATACATACTAAACATTTAACAACATAATATCATGAGTACAATTCTATAAAAGATTCTTTAAATGTACTTGCGCTAAAAATTGTTAAAAAATTAAAGGAGTAGTTCACTTTTAAAAAAAACTTTTGCTGATAATTTAGTCAGCCCCATGTCATCCAAGATGTCCATGTCTTTCTTTCTTCAGTCGAAAAGAAATTAAGGATTTTGATGAAAACATTCCAGGATTTTTCTCCATATAATGGACTTTACTGGGAACCAAACGGTTCAAGGTCCAAAAGACAGTTTCAGTGCAAACTGCAAACTGTTCAAAGGGCTTTAACCCCTTAACTGTCGCCGTCCCGGGACGCCTAACTTTACTTCACTATATTGCTATTAAATCCTAATCCAATTATGACAAATTATATATTGATGGAAAGGTCTAAGACTTCTAATTGTACCCCTGTTTTGTGTTACAAATTATGTAGGAAGAGTAATTGATGAATTTATGAAAAGAGTGCACGTCAAAAAATAGGTCTGACCTTTGTCACAAAAAGTCAATGCACCCACTTTTAATCATTGAAACTTCTGTTTTTAATGCTAAAAATTCATAATAAAACATATAATCTAGTATTTTTCAATAAAAAATACAAAATTATAGTATATTATTCTCTAAAAATTATAATATATATATATATATATATATACATTATCCTCTAAAATATAATATTTTTTATCACCTTTTTTATTATATCACATATTTTAGTACTTATCATAAATTAGGTATTATTTAAAAGCTTATAAACTCAGAATTCATCTAGTGAAAACCTAATCTGCTGAGTGTTTCCTTTAAAACAAGACCAAACTTGGGTATATATTCCAAAGCATTCTTTAATTACAACCATTTAAGTGTGAATAGTGCATTTTAACCCCCATTCTCAAAAAGGGGGGTGACAGGTAGGGGGTTAAACGATTCCAACGATTAAAAGCTCAAAAGCTTGCCTTGCTCTCTTCTGTGTGACTCTCCTGTTCAAAATAAACAAATCTTTTTCCGAGTCAATTTGTTTATTTTGTTCGTTGAATGAACCAAATGACTCGAAAAAGATTCGTTCATTTTGATGAACGAGTTCGAACAGAGAGTCATGAGACATCACAGAACAGAGCAAGGCGACCATTTGTGCTTATAAAACTTAAACTTTGTTATTTTATTTTTTTTAAATGAGCGATCGTTTCGCTTGATAAGACCCTTATTCATCGTCTGGAATTGTTTAAAGCCCTTTCAACAGTTTGCAGTTTGCACTGAAACTGTCTTTTGGACCTTGAACCGTTTGGTTACCAGTAAAATGCATTTTATGGAGAAAAATCCTGGAATGTTTTCATCAAAATCCTTAATTTCTTTTCGACTGAAAAAAGAAAGACATGGACATCTTGGATGACATGGGGGTGAGTAAATTATCAGCAAAAGTTTTTTTTCAAAAGTGAACTACTCCTTTAAAGATTGGGCAGTCCAAAAGAACATGTTTTACAGACAAGTTTACAGTCACCCTTCAATAAATGCCCATGAGTCAGTCTAGTGTGGCGTATCAGACACCTTGTAAAAACAACTTGGTCGCAATCTTTTCCAACCACAGAAATCATTTAAAATAATAAGGGCAATTTTGATATTCTACCCAGTCTTACAATTTAAAATAACGGTTTTATATTTTACAATGTACTGTAATATATTTTTTTAAATGTAATTTTTTCCTGTTATGGCCAAGCTGAATTTTCAGCATCATTCCTCTTCCATCATTCCTCGTTTTTCATCATTCCTCTAGTCTCATGATCCTTCAAAATCATTCTAAGATGCTGATTCGGTGCTCAAGGAACATTTCTTATTATTTTCAAAGTCTAATAATATTAATAATATTGCCTAGTATTTTTGTGGGAACTGTGAAGCAATAAAAACAGTATTATTTGTTCCAGGATTCTTTTATGGAAAGAAAAGTTCAAAAGAACAGCATTTGTTAGAATTAGAAATCTTTTGTAATATTATACATGTCCTCTACTGTCACTTTAGATCAATTTAATGCATCATTGCTCAAACACATTTCTTTTTTTTATTTTAAGAAAACCTTTTGAACCGTAGTATAAATCAAGAAATTCTTCATACCTTCACTTGTTACACCCTCCTCTCCTTCATCTCCTTTCTGAAGGGAAGTAGAAAAAAGGGTACAATATTTCAGCACACGAAGGCTTTGTAAAAAAAAAGGAGCACAATTTGTTTGCAGGCAGCCACATCAAACATTTTCATTTCTTCCCTTCAAAATACCAATAGAAATTCTTGAATTAACAGATTATCTAAATGATATTACTCAAAACATCCAAAGGCATTAGTATAGAATATCAAAGTGTTAAAAGCATGTCAAGCAAGGGTCTGTTCACTACGTACTCGTGTTGTCACGTATACTAAAATAACTGACAGAATATCCCAGAAAAGTAAGGAACTCAGGAAAACCATTCAAGGAGAATAGTTAGTAACCCAAAAAAGAGGGTACAAGGGTAGTCAGCCAGGAAAAAAAAGGCAAACAAAAAGAAATATGCAGTTACATATTTCTTTTAAAATAAGTGAGTTATGTCCTGAAGAAGACAGGAAAAAAAAAAAAAGAAATAAAAATAAACAAAAGGAAATCTCACCACATCAGTACAGAGCCACTCCTCAATGTCATCCATGACAGAGGACTGGTCAAGAGCTGCCTATGGGCCCAAACCATGGGCCGGAGCCAAGCAAATAACAAATAAAAATAATAATCCCAAGAAAACATGACAAAACAAACAACAAAAAACAAAACAAAAACAATAAGACTTAATCAAATATGAGTAAACTACCCCCATATGGACAAGTGAAACACATGCACAGTGCGTCACCACAGAAAACAGCAGTTCGACACTATTGAGCTGCACTGACTGATTAATATTGGTCTGGAATTACCAAAAAGTACAAATAAAAGAATATTCTGAACTCCTGCCTCCAGAAAGAATTTCTCGTCACTCAAACATTTGCGTTCATGAACTAGTGTCATCTTCTGAGCCTGGAGCATGGTACACTACATACTTAGCGTTACAGTAATATTCATCTTTATAAATCACTCCAAAATAAGTATCTTAACATCCAGAGGGCTGTTTCACAAAACCAAGATTAAGCCGGGGTTTTGCAGATATCCTGGCTGAATTAAGTCGGGACTCGGTTTAACGAAAGCAGTAGCACATAAGTTACCATGGCGATTTATTCTGTGCAGCTGCTTACTCAATCCTGGTGCCTTATCTGTTCAGTCAGCGGTCACGCCGATCAGAAACCAATGTGTTTTGTCAGTTATTCCGTTTTGTCATCTATATGTTCAGTGCGATTTTTATCAGCCTGCATTAAAATAGGCCTACCTCAGATACATATTATTGGCATTCAGTCAAGTAGCCTACTATTATTATTGTAACATAACACTATAATAATAATTATCCATATGGGCATTGTTACTGTTCAATTGTGTTTTTGAAGACTGCTGTTGTTCTAAGTTTGACAGGTCTTTAATAGGCTATTGTATGTGATGAGGGAATTAGTGAAATGGCTGATAAAGAAGCAAAAGTTTTGTCAATCAAGTCAGGCAATACAAGTTGCTCTAAACACATGTTTCGTCCTTTACAATGGCATGCCCATTTTTGGATGGCATCTTATATCGAGAAGGCCTTTCAGATGTGAAAGAGTGTTTCGGGACAGGTCCGACCCATTGACTTTTCCCGACAATTACATGCAAGAGCGTTAGCCTACTGCTTTTCTAGGGATGGCATCCACTACCTGTGCAGACTGTTGGGTCCCAAAATTTTATCAGACTCTTACCAGTCTGCAAAATTTTCTTATATTTGATCTTGACCTGTTGCCAGGTCCTCTTTGGTCCAGTCATGTTTGTTCTGTATACATATTGATAGGATGTGTAACAAAAAAGAGTAACATAAATTAATCAGCTGTACAACATTGACTTCCACTGTTCATTTTTAAGTTTACAGTTGTTCGTTTGAGTAAAGTAGGCCTAACTCCTTGAATGTATAATTATGACGTTTTCAGTAGCGCATTCAGTCGATCCGCTATTGTTTGCCATGCCTTTTCTCGCTCCTTTATAATAGCGGCTGTGTTTCCTTTTCTGAGTATGATGTGCTTCAATTCCTCGTAAATCTCCATTAAAAGATGTTGCTTATTTGGTGTGAAGTATATATGGCACACGCAACTTATCCACCCAGGTATTTGAATTACTTACACCTGGCTTGACATAGCCGCTCCTCCTGAGCCTGGTTTGGCCTTTGTGAAACTGATAAAGCCAGGATGCACTGATCACACTAGGTCAAGCCCAGCTTTATCTCTTATCCTGGATTTCTAAATTCTGCTTTTGTGAAACAGCCCTCAGATCTATGTCTCCTTAACATGAAAACAAAAAGTCCATACGTGCATATGCAGATGAAGAAGGCAATAAACTGTCCTAAAATAAAACACACACACACAAACAGTCACAGAAACTGACCCCAGTGTTTTGCTGTCTGACATCCAAAGTCGGGGCCACTCCACTTGAAGCCTTTGTGTCTTCGAATGGTACACTGGGAGTTAAAAACAAGGAATGTGTGAGATGCTAACAATATAATATAATATAATATAATATAATGGTTTCACAGACAGGGCTTAGATTAATTTATAAACGTGCCTTAGGAAAAAAAAATTACTGGTGTGCATCTTGAGATAAAACAATGACACTGACATATTTGAAGATATATCAGAGCAAGTTGCTATCAGTTAAAACAGCTCAAACATGCAGTTTAGTCTGTGACTAACTTAAGCCTTGTCTGTGAAACCGGGGGATAATATAATTTAAAACATATTTTATTATTGCCTATTTAGGACTTTAATTAAATAATATACAATAGAATTGAATTAGTGATCTGTGAATATATTAATTATTTTTAACTTATTGCATTTTGTACATGAAATGAGACTTTACTTTAAACAAACAAATACACACTTCTTTTATTTATTTAAAAAAATTAATTAGAGATAAGTTATTGCTGTTGGGTATTACAACTAATTGGCTCAATGTTTTCATTTATTTTAAATTAATAACATATTGAATGATGTATCATCATGAAGTCCTCTTGTAATAGGATAAAATTGGCATAGCACATCAAATATGGTAAATAGGAAAACCATTGAGGTTTGTTTTAGCGCAAAGCACACACACAAGCTTCCTTGTTTACCATGAATTATGAGCTCCATGTATGTGTGTTTATTAAATTAAATCTGTTCATCATTTAAAGTGATAGTATCTCTTCACAAGATTTGAATTAAATCGCTTGATTCATATAGATTAATTTCACAATGTCTTTGACCTTTTTTTTTTTTTGGTTACCTGGACATTCATGACTTTCATTGGAAAAACAGAAACCATAGTCTTCTAAACTCAAATTAAGATATTTTCAATGAAACCTAACTAAAGTCTAATGGGTTTGGAACGAGTAAATGGTGATAGATGGGTGCTATCCCTTTAAGGGGGGGCATTTAACTCTATTATATATTACAAACTATTTGGTTGCATTAAATTTTGCTTTGTTTATACTTCTTCCGCTCAGGAATGGTACCAGTCCTGGTCTGGGCAAACATGTCAAAGTCATCTTGGGGTTGACAGGTAGTCAAGGAGCTCAAGGTGCCAGTCACACTGTCAGAACCCACATCTGTGAAGCAACGGTATTCTCACATTAGTGCAGGCAAACAAAACAGCATCTCTCTAGATATCAAAAATGTACAGAATATTGTGTATCCAAGTTACGAGACTCACCCAAAACCGCCAGTCTGGAGGAGAGTGTGACCGGAGAGGCAGAGCGAACAGCAGCGACGGAGGGAGGCAGACTGGATGGAGGAGTGGCGCTGATCCTGGGACTGACCACCGCAGGAGACCCCGGTCCCAGGTCAATCAGGTTATCTTCCGTCGCCTCGTTCAGGACCTGTTGAAATGCAACACCATTTCACACAGAAACACATTGGTTACAGACACTTATCAGATTAAACGATTATTTATTTGCTATCTTACCTTTACATCATAAACATTTTCAAACTGGTTTACTGGTTTGCTTAAAGCAATAATTCACTTCAAAATGAAATTATGTCATCGTTTACTCAGCCTCAAGTTGTTTCAAACCTGTATAGATTTCTTTCTTCTGCTGAACACAAAGGAAGATATTTTTAAGAATGTTGGTAACCAGAAAGTTGATAGACTCCATTGTGACTTCCAGTAGGGAAAAAATACTATGAAAGTCAATGGGGTCCATCAACTGTCTGGTTATTCTTCAAAATATCTTCCTTTGTGTTCAGCAGAAGAAAGAAATTCAAACAGGTTTGAGACAACTTGAGGCTGAGTAAATAATGCCAAAATATTCATTTTGAAGTGAACTATGCCTTTAAATGTTTGCTTTAAAAAAAGAGAGACCCAGCATTCAGTTCTATGGGTTGAGAAGAGTTAAAGAGATGGTTCACTTTGAAATTAATTTTTGGCATGTTTTAGCTTACCTCAAAGGCATCCAAGATGTAGGTGTCGTTGTTTCCATAGTAGTTTCAATTTTTATATTTTTAAGTCAAACCGTTCGTGTCAGTCAGTCATATAATGCAGGTCTATGGTCACCACCTCAAAGAGCATGCACAGAGAAGTCCAGATTAAACGTGATTTAATGACTCGTAAATGTAAGTACACATTGATGACCTAAGACACGAAACGAGCGGTTTGTGTGAGAAAACGAACAGTATTTATATAGTTTTTACCTCTTGTAACCACAGCCACAAAGCGCCCACCCCCTCAGATCACTTGGACGTGGCTGTGGTTACAAGAGGTAAAAACAATATAAATACTGTTAGTTTTCTCACAAAAAACGGTCGTTTCGTGTCTTATGCCATGTGTACTTACATTAACGAGTCATTAAATCATGTTTAAATTGGACTTCTCTGTGCATGCTCTTTGAGGTGGGGACCATAGACCTGCATTATACGACTGACAGACAAGAACAGTTTGTCCTAAAAATATCAAAATTGAAACTAATGCGGAAACAAAGACACCTACATGTTGGATGCCCTTGAGGTAAGCTAAAACATACCAAAAATTCATTTCAAAGTGAACTATCGCTTTAAGACAAATGGTTGGGAGGTAATACATACGATGCTTTCACCAGTTTCACCAACTCTTTCGTGTGAGGTCAGTGAGGACGTCTAACCTTTAACTCAAAGTACACTAAGAATGATGAAAAGTTGAAGTGGTACAGACTGTACAGGAACATTGGCTATTAGACTGGCCACGAAAAGGATGGCTAATGGATATTCCCAGGCCAATTATTACTCAGTGTGTGTGAATGTTACTCATAGTCTTTATGAGTAAGACTTTCTCTTAAGTGTTTCTTTGCCATTTAAAAAAAGGTATGTTGCTGGATTTCAGAGGAGTTGTGCTTAAATACGTTTGAATCCTCTAATTTACAAGTCAAATGCACTTAAAAAAGAAACACAAATGACATCAAAAACGTAATTTGTTGGTGTCGTGGCACATTGCATTCCATGGCAAAAGACCATAAATAATAATAGACATGCTGTCAAAATGTGATTTGTCAGAAGTCATAATACATCTGTGCTGTATAGCTGTACTGAAAAAGCACATTAATAATCTGTGATAACTGGCTTCAGATTCTATGACTGTGAATTCCAGTACATCATATTTAATATGTGCATCTCGTCGCCTTTCCGTAGTACTAGACACCACATGAGTAAATTCAACAACTGTTTTAAAGAAAA